CTCTTCCAGGTGTTATGGGTCAGCCTTCAGGTACTGGCCTGCCCGACCTTCTTCTCTCAGGTACCGTCGGACCGCGCATTCTGCTCTTTGCCGGGGGTCCCTCGTGGCTCCCCTTAGCTTTACTTTCGCAGGAGACACACGAATATATGGTTTCACACTTGGATGTATCCGACTAGCCTCTCAGGTCCTCGGGAGCCTCTCGGGCATCAGCCTCGGCTGCCCCTGCCTTCTCCCAGCCGGATCCGTCTCCGCCTCAGCCAGCCTTCTTGCCTTTAGGAGGGGGATATCAGAGCTATCACTTCCTCCCTCCAGCCTATTTTGAGCGCTTTGCTCTCTCGCCTCAAGGTTCCGACACAGGCAGCTTTGATTCAGGAAGTGTCTGGCTGTGCCCTCCCAGCCCTCCAGCCTCCAGCCGCTCGGGTAGTTCCCAGGCTTCCAGCCTGGACTCTGCCCTGCCTGGCCTACGATATCGACACCCCTTGCCTTGGCGCCCGTTTCGGGTCCCCATTCTTTGGGTCTTTCAGCCTTGCCTTTGCCGAGTACTTTGGTTTGCCACCAAGGAACTTCGCGAGCCTATTTTAGGATGGAGCCTTGAAGGGATGCTCTTTGGGGTCGCCCCTTGCGCCAACATTTTGCTTTTCGCCGGCTCTAGCCAGGAGGTGGCAGCCCTCTGTTTTCTTAATAAGGCCTGCCACGATTACATAGCCGAGCGCATTGCCAAGGCCACAGCTTGACTCGCCATTGCCGTTGGTCCTTCGGGATCCCCAGCCTCAGCGGTCATGCCGGCCCGCAAGCCTTGGTGCTTATGCCCTGCCCTCGCTCAGGCACTTGCAACTCACTGGTCGTTGCAGCCTCAGCCGCCCTGTGCCTTCGCGAAAAGCGGTCCGACCCAGCCGACACTTGAAGCCTTCTATCAGCCCTTTCCTTGAACTTGCTCTGCTGCTGCGCTCTGCTCCTCCAGGTCTCTTTGAGCCAAGGCCGGCACCTCAGCCGCCCAAGCCTCTTTTAGCTTGTGCAAAGATGTTGGTTAGAGCAGGACTTCGCTGCCCCTCTTGCTTTCAAATCAAGCCTCATTTGCAGAAACCCAGTTCTTCTCCTGCCGCGCCGGCCGCATTAACGCCAGCCTTCAGTTCTTCCTCCGTAGGCACCCAGCCTGACTCTGCCGATTTTTCCGGCTCTACGTGACCCATTTCAGCAACTTGCCTCAGCCTCAGTTGTCTCCTCCGAGCGTCCCAGCTTTGTGTTGCTTCAGTAGCCGCTCTGGCTGCAGCTACCATGAAGGGCAGCCTAGGAAATTGCGGCCAACATCTGCTTGGCCTACATGCCCTGCCGTAGATTGTGGTGTGCTTGGCCGTGCTTCCTGCTACCCACAACCGCAAACCACACAAAACTTCTTGCTGCAACATGCAGTGGTCAACTCATCTGGCTCGCTGAGCTCGCTCTGGTGCAAAATATAGTGTAACTTCAGTGTCTCACTCTGATGCTGCCATGATGCTCGCCGAATGCTCGCTCTGGTGCAAAATACAGTGTAACTTCAGTGTCTCACTCTGATGCTGCCATGATGCTCGCCGAATGCGCGCTCTGGTGCAAAACCTATTGTAATTTCAGTGTATCGCTCTGATGCTGCCATGATGCTCGCTCTGGTGCAAAGATATATCACTCTGATGCTGCCATGATTTTAGGCCCTTTAGGCTTGGAATTCCACGATGCCATGATGTTAATGACTCAATGATGCATGGGGGGAGTTCGGAGTTCGGGTTCGGACACGCGTAGTAGGCGCTGCATTTAGGATTTACAAATCGGACACGTTTGGATTGCTGCATCTCTTTGTGCTTGAGCCGAAGGCCTGCGGGCTCACGTTGCAGATCTTGACAATCTTGGCAACTGCTGCTTTTGCAGCAGCCTCTGACCTGTTGTTGTTTTGTAGGCGCAGCCTGAAGGTCTTTTCAAACCATTGAACCAGGACTAACCACTATCCACATGTTACACGGTGTTTTCCGTTTCTTTTCTACAGATTTTTCTACAGATTCTATAGCTCGTTTTTGATTGATTCCGGAAGCCTGCTAGAATCATGACTCATGCTTCGACCGCTGAGCTGACTGATTTCGACGCTGGCTGGTGTAAATAAACTGTAAACTAGAAGTCATAGAATGGAGCGGGAAGCTGCTGGTTGGCAGCTGGTAGTACTGGCAGGCAAGCAAGTTTTTAAAGTCACTAGTGCACGGCACGGCACACGGCTTGGCCGCCATCGACCAGTCGACCAAAGCTTCGTGTTCATTTTTGGAAGTGATACTCGCTTTAGCTTTCAAGATATTTTTGATTTGCTGAGTGTGTAAGGCAGCTCAACGCTGTGTGGTGCTGAAGTTGTGGCCGGGAAAGTGCGCTCTAGAATCTGCCGTCCCGCGTTCCAAAGCTCAAACCTCCGACTCCAACCATGTGCAGACAGCAGACAGCAGACACTGGCAGACTGGCAGACACTTTTGAAGATAAGGAGTGAGCCATACTCAATGAGAAGTTCGGATTGTCAGCGAGTCAGCGGTGCTTCAGTCCAACCTCATGTGTGCTTGTTGCTTATTGGAGATCTTGAAATCGAGTTTGATAGGTTCCAGTTGTTTTGTGATTCATAATTGTATGATGGGGTGAAACGGCGGAGCGTGCAGCTGGCATGGCCGGCAAGGCTTTCGCGATGGCTGCATGGATGCTCCTGTAGTCGCTTTGCTAGCGACGCCATGGTCTGGGCTTACGAGAAGTTCTGGACATCATCGGCAGGCATCCTTGAAAGCTGAGCAGCGCAGGTGGAAAGCCACAGAAGTCGGACTTCGTGCATCGGATGTGCAGTACATTACAAGCTGTGTGGAGTCTTGTGCATTGAGTGATGAGCAAAAGAGGTTTTTTGGTTTGTGGAGCAAGAATGGGACTTGGCCAAATCAGCATCAAGCCACCATTGGGGCTGTGCTACTGCGCAAACCAAAAGGTTTTCAACACATGGGCTTGTTAGATACGCAAGAGAAAGCTGCGTTGTGGCACTCTTGGGGCTGCCCCGCCATGCATCAACAGAATCCGCAGTGGTTGCTGTTTGATGTAGCTGACAGCTTGTGCTTCAATCGAGAGCTAGATCACAGAGCATTTGCAACAAATCTGAAGATTGCAGAGCAACGGACATCGTGGAGTGCACGTTTGTCGCCAGAAGCTGCACAGGAACTTGGGGCCATGCTATGCTTGGATGGCCGCTCTTTCAGTGAACATTTCGATGCGTGGGGTGTGTCTGTCGAGCAGCGTGAGTTTCCTGTCTTTACCGCTCTTGGTCCAGTTGTTTACTTGGTTGCTCATGGTAAATGGCATACATTGGCCGATCTACCACGCTGCACAGCCAAGCTTCTTCGACAACCACGAGGCCGCCCGTAGTACAGTCAGGTATGTAGAGGTAGCAGGTAGGACAGGCTAGACATTTCAATCATTTCAGAAATTAGCATCCAATCGAACCAAACCCTTGACGCTGCTACCGTATGCGGCCGCGCGCCGGGCTCTCTTGCCTGCGAACATGGTTTCATTTGCGGTCGGGGCAAACCTTAACTTGAAGAATCCTGCCTGCCCAGTCATTCTGCTCATTGAGTTGCTCAGTTGTTCAGCCTGACAGCCTCACTTTACCCGCCCAGGCGGCCCAGGCGCACACACGCAAAAAGGCGAAACCTTGAAGCCTTCAAGTCTTGAAGACTTGAAGCCTCAAAGACTGTAGACTACGAGCATCCAAGCAACACTGCCCGTCCACGCCAAAACCTACAAGTCCGAGACACCAAGCAAAACCCTAAACCAACAAGGAAACTACATGCGGAAGCTGATTCAAAACTTTACAGGACACTTTGCAGGCGCCGTAAGAACACTGTAGGGACCCCTGTAGGGAGGTATCGTGCAAGCTGTGTGACAACGGCTTTGCTGCGCAGGTGACTTCTTGGTGCCAGGTTTTGCAGCCCACTATGCTTCGGCTGACCGTTTGGCCGTTCAGCATCTTGCTCTGCGACGCGCAGATGTTGGCCCAGTTCCAATCAGCCTGCTCCTGAATGTTCGTGATTCACTGGCGCAATTTCGGCAGAAGCTGCAGGACCAGGATTGTTTTGCAGAATCATCGTTTACTCTTGATGCCCAGATCATGCAACTTGATGCCCTGCACTGTTCTTTGACGTCTGACAGATGCCCCTTCTTCCAGAAGCCAGCAGGAGGCAGGTATTCCTCGAAAGTCATCGTCACGGCAGTGCAGTCATGTTGCTTGTTGCGTGATGCTGGTGATCTTGAGAAGCAGATGAAGCATTCCATCCAGCTCATTTTGCCAGACCAGGCCTCCGAGCTCTTGCAGGCGATAGATCGCGGCTTGTTAAAGGCCCCCAGTCCTTCAGCTGTAAGCCGTTGGCGGCTTGCTGTAGACACTGGCTTTATGTATGTGATGCGTCGACTGGTGTCAGATGCAGATGCTGCTGGCTTTGCTGTAAGGTGCGTCTTGGCAGACAGCTCACCACAACGCAAATTCGATTGGCTTCTGACGGAAACACACACCCTAGCTCCTTCAGAGGTTGTTCGTTGGTTGCAGAGTGTGTGGGCTTTGGCAAACACACGCACTCGGCTGTTCAGATTGCTAGCTGCCTGTGACGATGCAATTCATGGACAGGATATCAAACAGTTGCAAGAGGACGTGAGACTTTTGCAGCATCAGCGGACTGCTGCACAGAAAGAACTTGAGGAGTGTGCAGGACCCTTTGGCCAACCGGCTGTAGATGTGCATTTGGACGGCACAGGGCAGTAGGCGCACGCAGCTGATTCACAAGGTGCGCGCTCTTCTGCACACGCTGAGGCTCGAGATTGGAAGCTGGTCGAAGGTGGTCAAGTTTTTGCACACTGTGCGTGCTGTCACGACGGATTACGGCACAGAGAGTGGTCTGGCAGATGTCCGTGAAATAAACATTTCTGCATTGTTTCCATGGACTGTTGATGCTCTTGATTTTGATGAAATGCAGCATGAAGATTTGGGTGTGCGTGATCAAGCAGCACCTGCCGAATGCCTGGGGCCCGGATTGGAGATGCGAGGGGATCAGTTGTTTCTCCTGAAGCTTTTTCCTTTGGCGTTGCAGTGTCCTGGTGCCTTGCATGTGCTCCACCAGTCAGTCGCAGAGTTAACCTCGTCTTTTTCGAACTATGGTGATTGGTTTTATCCAGGCCTACAAGCCGTCACACATGTCTTTGGGAAAAAACACAACAGAGACCGGTTCATTGCAGAAAAGCTGCGTGGCTCCGAAGCCAGCGACCTTGAAACAGCGGTGAGAGATTTGGAGTTGAACTTGCACGAAGGACGATGGGGAACGATGGTGAACACATGCAAATCTTTGCTATCTGTGCGCCTAGTGTTTGCTTACTGGACTCCAGATGTCATCAGCCAGGACCCGCCAGGCCCGAATGCATCGCAAGCGGACAAAGACGACTACACTTCCTTCTGTAACATGAGAGATTCAATGACAGAGTCTGTTCGTGACGCTTCTTGGTGGGAATATCTGTGCATGATCCTACGCCTTTCCCGGGTCGTCGACCATCTGGAGCACTGGTTTGAAGCTTGTCCCTGTCACTTCAAGAAAGTCCCTGAGTCCTCCCTCGCAGGAAATCGGATTTTCAACACCAGGTACGATTGTCCCATGGCAGGTCGTCGCGGACCTGAGTTAGCCGCCGGGGCGATGGATGTAATCCTGCGTGACAACTTCGAGGCGCAACGAACTCACTTGCTCATGGCTTGCTCTTCCTTGCAACGTGAAGACGCAGACAAGATTTGCCATGACTTTTCTGCTGGGCAAGCAAAACTCGAGCAGTTCCTGGTATTGAAATTTTCCTTTTGGGGAGCGCTTCCCCATAAACTTTGTGTGCTCGGACATCATGTTGAGGCGGAAGCACGCTTGGGGCTGAAAGCTGCCAAAGACATGTTTGAAGAACATCCAAGCAGTGACCAGCATCATGCACTTACGGAGCATTTCTTCAGAGGGCCTCTTGCTGCACACATTGATGCTTTCATCGCCGGGCGTCTGGCCAGATCGGACTCCCAGGAGTTGTTGCGTGAAGCCGCTGCATGTGCTTTTGTGTCTTGTGTTGAGCGAAGCATCGAAGCTCGGCACGCGCTTCTGAAGTCGAAGACCGAACTGATGAAACGCATATCGCCTGCCTCCTTCTCGCTGGCGATTAGATCACATGAGTTCCATAGGCGATGCCTCAACAATGCAGAGATGCTTTCTGAGTGGCAGCACCACGTCCTCAGATTGAAAAGATGTTCCAAGCATGGGTATCCTTATGTAGTCGACATGCTCGGGTTTGCCAACCACCCAGAAATCCAGCGCTCGCGGAGCATGTTTCAGAGGATCAGACTGCGCGACGCGGCCAACGTCATATATCATTGTGATTTGGAGACACAGTACGATCGACAGGCTGCAGCAGGCTCAACAATGCGGCAGCCTGGCTATAGGGACAACCCTGATAGTGCTGCTAAGCTTCGGAAGCTGGTTTCCAGCCAATCCACTGATGAGGGCAAGCAGAGTGCCATGTTGCGGGTGGTCATGCACGAACATTTCTGTCACAAATGCCAGGAGGGGGAAATCTATTCCCTCACAGGCCAAGTGCCGCCAGCTAGATTGCTACAGGATGCTCTTGTGCCCAAGCCGAAGCGCCGTGCTCCGGAATCGCTGCAGGAAGTTGCGCATCCGCAGGCAGATGTGCTGATGTTTCAAGAACCTGACCCGGCAGAGGACCCTTCGACAACAGCTGCAGTGCCTGAGCCTTCGCAGTCGTTGGAGATCGATCCCGTTCCATCTGATGCCACCCCTGTTCTTTTTGTCCAGGCCGGGTTTTCGGTAGCCATGCGTTTAGGGCAGAGAGAGAGCCAGAGACCATTACGAAGTTACGGAGGTGTGTGTGCACACACGCAGCGGCTGCCCAGAGATTGAGCGAAAAACCGAGAGAGAGAGGGAGAGAGAAGCAGAGAGAGAACTTCTCGGCCTGTGTGCACGTGTCTTCAAGTGACTTTGTTTGTGTCTGTGCCTGGCTCTCTCTCTCTCTCTCTCTCTCTCTCTCTCTCTTTCTCTTTCTCTCTCCTCTCTCTCTCTCTCTCTCTCTCTCTCTCTTTCTCTCTCCTCTCTCTCTCTCTCTCTTTCTCTTTCTCTCTCCTCTCTCTCTCTCTCTCTCTCTCTCTCTCTCTCTCTTTCTCTTTCTCTCTCCTCTCTCTCTCTCTCTCTAGTTGGTCGACTGCGGACGGAATCCGTCCATAGGCTTTTGCAAGGCCGACTCCCAGGATGCTCGCTCCCAGGGGTGTTTGTGTCGACCAAGCATGCGGACAGAATCTTTTTCCGGGTGTGTGTGTGTGTGTGTGTGAGCCGGTGTGAATGTCTTTGCATCCTCATTCTGCCCTCGTGACATCGTACCCAGTATCCAGTGCGCAAAGCGGCAGTCTGAATTCGTGTTAATTTTGCAGTCATGTGCGCTAGTAACACTAGTACATCTCTTAGCGGTCCTTGTAGGCCTTAAAGCCAGTGCTCCATGTGTGGCACCGCAGGTCGTCAAGACAAATCTGGCCAAGCAGAAGCGGGTGAAATATGCCGATGCCTTCACCCGCCAACTTGGCCATTTGGATGTGGCTGTCTGTGTGCATCCGGCATCTTCGGCAAGTGGGGGCGACAACATTCTCCGATCTGCGTCAGTAGAATTGATGCCGCAGAGGAATGCAGTCGGTCGTGTGCACGTTCAGCTTTTTGATGCTCCGCAGGTTAAGACGATACCTGAGGCGATGGAAGCTGTGACGGTGTGGTCACGATCAGCAGTTCAGACTGAATATGCGCAATTGTTTCTGCCAGGATTTTCGGATCACCTCCGTCCGGTAGCAGGTGCCTTGATATCAGAGATGGCTCGTGCAGGTGCGATAAAGGACGGTCCGCGGGAAACTGCGTACCATATCTGGCATGATTTTGACCATGACGATGGAGTCCTTGCGAGACTGGAAGCAATTGAGGAATTGCAAAATGTTGGTCTGATACATGAGGTGTTCAACAATGATGACCAAAGTGCATGGCTCTTAGACGTGGCTGCAGTTGCAAACTGCAAACCGACAATGAACTTGGAGGCTCCGAGGAAATTCTTTTCTGTGCCCGATGGACCACCTGCTTTGACGTGGAGCAGGATGGAGTGCCTCAGCTACCTTCATGTCCATGGCTGGCAGATGCACATGCTTTCCACTGCGGATGAGAAAGGGGCTGTCTTGCCTCTGGATCTGAATTTCCGAACATCAGATGACAAAATGATCTGTGTTTTCAAAGGGAACCTTTTGCAGCGTTATCTCCACTGTCTTTGCTATGCAGATGCTGAGCTTCCTTTTCCTGGGCATGTTGAGACGATAGACCACTTCGGGACGCATGCGTATTTTGGGAAGATTCTGGGTTTGGAAGCTAAACGGCGACAGCAAAGCCGGCCGGCAATTGCAGATGCCGACGGAAATCCTGCTTTGGCAGCTGTTCCAGCTGATTTGTTTCGCAACCCACAGGAAATGGAGCCGGGGACCACGGCACCAGAGGATGTGGAAAGCCTTCCACTTCCACATGATCCTGAGCCTGACGACGACAACGACCATGATGACCAGCTACGTCTTGACAATGACGATGACGACGCTGATTCTGTGCTGGCCGATTTGGAACGTGCCATGCAGCCAGACATTGCCACAGATGTTGAGGATGCTGAGGGAGGCGGCCATTCTGATGCCGCTGCCTGGCAAACACAGGTTTGAGTGCTTGTCATGCTGTTGATATGCAATGTGTGCTGGCTGCGCAAGCATGATGTCAGTTGTTCGGATTTGTGTAGCCTTAGCCACGCATCGTGCATCCGAGGGAGGCGTGGGTGATGTGGAATACGATAATGATTTCGGGCCTCCTGCTGATTGGCTGGCCTCTCCGGAGCTATCGCCATCTGGTTCATCTGGTGTCACTAAGGCTTCAAGTTCAGGCAGCTCGTCATCTTCTGAGTCTGATTCAGACTCTTCTGGCTCTTCTGATGAGGACCCTACTGCTGCCGTTGGGGAGAGGGCAGCAGCAGCAGAGGTGGCGGAGCCAGGGCCAGAGCGAGCGTCCAGGCGCAGGGGCAGGCCAGCAGAACCGGCCCTGCCCGATCTGAATGTGAAGCGCCATCGCAGAGATGAAAGGTTCGAGTGGCGCAATTTCCGATTTACTTTTCGGCCTGGCACAGATGCTCGCAAACCGGGTTATATGGCATTATGCAGGTTTCATTCTGCTGGAGAAAGTACGAAGTGCACAAGAACGGCAACCTGGAATGACGAGTCAGAGAGGGCTGCTACTGTCAGGAGACTTAAGACTTGGTGCGTCAGAGCAGGCGATTATGATGACCGCCGACAGCACCAGGCACATGTCACAGCAGAGGTGCTAAGCGATGATGCTTTGGAGGCAGCCGAGCTTCCGCCATTGCCTGCTGCTGGAGATTGAGCCAGTGCAGCTTACTTCGTCATAGTGCAAACACTTGCAGCTTCAAGTCATCGGTGCATGCTTGGCACTAAAACATTTGAGCCTCCTGTTGTGTGGCTTCTTGCTCGGAGCCGTGGTGCTGCAGTGCTGCATGTTCAGAGTTTCAGACCACTTTTGCTGTCATGTCCGAAGCCGGAAGCAAGCAACATGCTATGAGTCAGTACTCGGAGGCCCTGTTGACTTAGTAAGTCTACTTAGTATCCCCTAGAAACCCTATTATAATCCCCATAACCCACCTTACTAACCCTACTTACTAAGTCAAAAGGGCCTCCAAGTACTGTGTCGCGTCGCATTGAAACACGAACATGTCTGTTTGTTCTTGCGCGGAAGGGATTAGTTTTTTAGATCACGGCCACGCCGCTAGAATGCAGGCTATCTTCGTCGTCAGCCCTAGGTCGGCTTTTGGTCGTGGGATGGCCTGTTGGTCCAATGTCTTATAAAGGCAAACTCCAGGCTCCAGTCTTGATGTTCGGTCGTGATGCTATATAGAATCTCTTGAACCCCTGTCCGGCTGTCAACTGACTGCTCATGTGTTCGTGTCCTATAGATGTACAGTGCGTCTCTGTGTTGGTGTTGGCCCTCTTTGCAGGTGCTGCAGGCTGCAGGTGCTAATCGAAGGATCACGCGGTGCTGGGTCGTTGAAGGGGTTCGTTGTTGGTTCAAACCAATTAACCGTATTCTTGGGTTGTTTGTGGTGGGCAGCTGTTGCTGATTCAGCCGAGCCAAGCTTATCCTGTGTCTTTCTAAGTGAATTGCCGAGTGAATTGCTGAGTTGTGCTGGTCTCCACAGAGTTCCCTTGCTTGCCGCCGATTCCGCCGCCGATGCCGCCCAAGTCGCCCAAGTTCGGCGGATCCGCCTGGATTCCGCCGCAAACGTACCAGTCGGAACAGATTTCCGGGATTACACCGATTTCTTCTGCTGTGCTGCTTTGCATCAATTTCTTGCAAAATGCAGAAGAAGGCCCCAGGAAGCACCGGACCCCCCCCGCACACTTCCGCACACTTCCGCACGCTTCCGCACGCTTCCGCACGGACACCGCCCCGCACACCGGCCCGCCCGCACACTTCCGCACACTTCCGCACGCTTCCGCACGCTTCCGCACGGACACCGCCCCGCACGCAGGACCGCCCGCATACTTCCGCACACTTCCGCACACTTCCGCACGGCAGCCCCGCACACTTCCGCACACTTCCGCACGCTTCCGCACGCTTCCGCACGCTCCTGCCTGGACCCCTCCGGCCCCTCCGCCCGGGCACACCGCCGGCTGCCGACACCGCCCCACGCAGGCCCCACTCACCAAGCATCATGAGCATCAGCTGCGCAGGCTGGGCCCCGGCTGGGCCAGCCCGACAATTCCAACAGTATCAACGAAATCCAAGCCAATCGTCCGGTTGCGCACAGTTTTACCTAAGGCTTTGCGCCTAGCTCCCCCAAATCCTGATCCGAATCCAGGGCCTCAAGAAAGGGTTGGAATTCATCAAATATGCGTACAGCCCCTCCTGGAAGCCTTGCACTGCACTTGGCTCCAGCCTACCCCAAATCCTGATGTCCAACCCCAAATCGAGGCCTTTTGACCAAATCCCCAGCCACAGTGTGTAAGTGTGTACATTACATCCCCACCCCTACACTACACCGTACACGTCGGACCCCTGTACCCCTCTCATCCCGGCCTCGTATATTATTCTGAATTATTCTCCATATACACACCCTCAATGACCCCCAAAGCAGCCCAGACCGTTTCCGCTCCCTCCATTCGAACATGCATCCAAGTGCCGGGGCCGAGTGGAGTCTTGATTGTTGAGACGATGAGTCAACACGAACACAGTAGAATAGCAATGGCAACCGTTACAGACATATAAAGCATGTTGCTTCGCTGCTCACTAGTGTGCGTCTTTGTCTATGTCTATGTCTGTCTGACGTGAAGTCCAGTCAAGTCAAGTCAGTCAAATCCGTGGGCCGTGGGCCGTGGGGATTCCGTGGTCCGTGGCACAACATGTGACATGTGTGGTGCTTCTTGCTTCTTGTGAACTTCTTGTCACTCTAAAACCCAATTGCTCGAAACCCAAACCAAGCCCGAAGAAGTCACCAGAAGTCCACCCATCACAAGTTGGATTGACTTTTGCAAGTCTGCCAGTAGTTCCAGTGTGCTGCGATTGAAGCCAACTTGACATTGGTCTCATGGCTGCTCTGACAGCCAGCCAAATTCTTTTGGAAAGGTGCAGCTGTTGCAGGATTCAAATCCGGGCCTGAGGGGCCCTAGCACTCAGTAGAGTCAGTGCAGGCAACTCGAGCAAGCATCCAGGTTCTTGTGTTCTAGCCTGATAATCACTGCCCGACACTCGACACTGCTTGATGTGTGCAGGTTTCGATGTCACGTTGTTGAGCATGTTGGCAAGTGTACACATCTGTAAACAAGATCTTCATTCTGCGCGTGGATGCACTGTTTCATGCGAGTGTCTGTGTCCTGAGCAATCAAGACCTCATGAAGAAGAGACCTGCGAGTCGGCCTGTGAGCCGTGCGAGTGCGGCTTCAGCTTCAGGGCCTGCCGAAGTGCCGGTGCCTTCAGCGCCGGCCGAAGTGCCTGCGCCTTCAGTAACCTCAGTGCCGGCCGGAGTGCCTGCGTCGCTCCTGAAGCGTGCTAGATCTCAGCGTCCGTCGCAGTTTCAGGCGCCGACAGATAGCCGCATTTTCGGGAACCTCGACAGCTCTGACGATGATGATTTGATTCTTCCAGCTTCTTGGAGCTCCACGAAGACTTCGAAGGCACGTAGTGTCGATTCTTTCAAGCAAGCAGTTATCACTCGGATGTTGCACTTGGCACTTGCCTGTTGCTGCAGTGTGTTTATCGCACTCTACGACGTCAGCCCAGCTTGTCCGAAGTATGCAGCGGGCGCCATAGGCCACCGACGCACACATTTGCGGCCTTTGCTTGTCATGTTCGATGCACCAGATTCCGGCGATGGGCTGGGGATGGACGCTGCTCCTGAGCAGCCGGTAAAGGCCGAGCCGACCGAGCCGGTCGAATCCCCTGTGAAAGGCTCCCCAGGTCTCGGGCTCGTGGCTGATCTTTCTCCAGCCAAAGAGAAGGACAAGGATGTTGCGGAGGAAGGGGTTGAATCATCCTCGGCATCTGCTGGTGTGTCACTGCCCACACCGGGCGGTTCGGCCGGCACTCCTACGTGTCCTCTGTGCAATCTCAGGACAGCTGCCAACAAGTCGAAGTGGTGCAGCGTGTGCAAAGCAGACGTGCAAGCCGCGCGTCGCGAGTCGCAGGACAAGGGCGAAGGCGAATGGTTCCGCAACCTGCTTCGCAGCGGCGGGGAGCCGCTGCAAGACTTCATGCACGAGTATGTCAAAATGAACGGGGCCACGAGAAGAAAATATTCGCAACGCGTCAAGTTTGACTTCTTGAAGTACAAGGAGGCTCGTCGGATCCAGACCAGCTTCAAACTTGGCTACAAGGCGCGAGTGTTGCCTGCTGCATAGTACTGACAGTACTGAGCGAATTCTGTATTCTGTATGGAAAGACTGCAAGCGAGTCCTGACGAGTCTTCAAGTTCGTAGCACGGCAGGAGACAGGCTTCTTGCACGGTAGCACTTTAGGTGCTGCCAATTCCGAAAGCGACATGTGACATGTTTGGCAAACCGTTTCGGCAATCCTGCAAGGCGGCTGGTGTGGGCTGGCACACCGCAAACCCTGAAAGTAATGACCCTCTCACCGAAATTGGCCATCTAAAACCGCAGGTGCGCGCGCGCGCGCGCCCCCCTCCTCCCAGCTCCACGCACCGCCGCTGAAAGTAATGACCCCCTCACCGAAATTGGCCATCTAAAACTGCAGGTGCGCGCGCGCGCGCGCCCCCCTCCTCCCAGCTCCACGCACCGCCGCTGAAAGTAATGACCCCCTCACCGAAATTTGCCATCTAAAACTGCAGGGGCACGCGTGCAAGATATGTTACAAGCCCCAACCTCGAACCGGAGATTCTGGCGGCAGCCAGCATGTGGATGTTGAGTATGTGCTTTGAAGTAGAGTCAGAGCCGAGCGAGTGGCATGATTGAGATATGTGTTGTGTCCAACGTAAAACAGGTGCTATGTGAAGTCTGTGAAGAATAGCTGTGTGTTTTGTTATGTGTGTTCTCCTTCGTGTGCTCAACAACTTCTCGCTGCTTGTGACACGAAAGTCTGTGGGTCACTCTGAGTCATGGGAGGCCGTCTTTATGCATAAAGCCCGGGCGGTCAACCACTGGGTCGAGCGGCTCGGCATGGATCGGAAGCAAGCCCTGGATCGCTGGGATACGGAGGTGGCTGCTGCCAAGGTGACGAACCAAAACGGACCCGTTGGGTCACCTCTTCAGATCCCTGTCAAACAGGATGATTTTATCATCGTGGAAGATGCGATTGTGGACGAAAAGATCAAAGAGAAAGAATTCAAGAGACAGAAGTTCTCTGATGAGGTGGAGGGGTTAATGGATGAAGGTCTGCTTGGCAGAGCAGGCAGCGAGGAGGACATCGAGAAGTTCGGTTTGGCTAGGATGGACAACCCAGACATGGTCTCTAGCTTGTTCGGTCGTCCCAACAAGATTGCTGTTGTCAATGAGCCCGCTGCCGAAGCAGAGAAGGAGCCCAAGGAGAAGGAGAATCGGAAGTCTTTTGATGCAGCTACAGAGAAGCTGGCGTTGCAAAACAAGTTGAACCAGATGCTCGACAAAGAAGCCACTGCTCTTTCGCATGTTGCTGAGGAGGTTGGTGCCTTCATGGATGAGAGTTTCGATGCCGCGCTGGCATCGACCGAGACCCCGCTCAACGAGCTGGCGGCAATGAAACTGCTGCGTGCCAGGCGGTTCGTTGCTCGGGCTTTGCTTGGAAGTTACGCTCCAGGCAGAGCGCAGACGGATGATCCTGCGAAAGGGCAAGAGGATGCCGATCACTACGAGGCCGTCTTGAAATCCAACGCGGAGGCAGAGCTGCCGGAGTCGTTTTTGCAGATGCAGCCTTTGCTGCACATCTCCCAGAAGCTTGGCACTTCGTTGAAGACTTTGGCGACACCCGCTGAAAGGAAGAGCATCGAGACTGACTTTAAGCCTGTGGTCAACATCATATCGCTCATGCGGACATCCCTCAAATCTGCGCTAGACAAGACGAAAAAGTTCAGCAAAGATCGCCTCACCCGTGTGGAGCGGGTGAAGCGCCAGCAAGACCAGCAGGCAGTGAAGGCAATCGATAAAGAAAAGAGGAAGAGAGAGCAGGAGGCTCAGAAGATCAACAAAGCTGCGGAAAAGCAGGGGCGAGTTGACAACATCTTTGGCATCGATTTGCTGAAACTCGGCATCCGTGCACTTGCGCATCACACGCTCGAGAAGGCGGAGGATGTCAAAGGCTTGAACTTCAGCAAGCCCTTCCTGCTGAAAGCCGAGTCCCCTGCTCTCTCCCAGATCCAGGCCGCTTGCCAGGACCAACAAATCAAGACATCCATGGACAGCTTCTACAACGGCTTCCCAGGAAGTGCGGCTTCCTTGAAAGGGAGCAAGCGGTTTACTGCTTTGATCAAGGATACTGCACCTCTACGTGCCAAGATCTTGGAGAACTTGGAGATCCCAGTGCGGCCGCCTCCTCGCATCTCGGCTTGGTCCTAATTGGCTCTGATATGCATGCTTGCAGATTGCGGTGTTCAACACACCTCGCGTGAGTGTGAGCGCCGTGCTGCTGATTCAAGTGAAACTTCCGTGACTTGGCAGGTGATGCAGATTCCACGATGGTGACTGCGCTGCAGGGTGTTTACTCTTGGGCCTACGGAGAAGACATGCTGTCGACCGGCAGCTTTGAGGCTTCCCAGCTGCCAACGATTCGGATTCAAACCCAAGGACATCGCTGGCTAATATTCGTCTCCCTCGATAGTTTGGTCAGCTACATTCGCAGCTGCAGGCGAGGAGCTCCCGTCGCGCATGCAGATGTGATTGAGTGTATGCAGAGTATGCAACCCCACACCATGGCGGCTTTCCTCAGCATGCATCCGGATGCTGTGCAACATGGCCTCGTGACGAAGGGTAGCATAACTTTTGTGCCGGCAGCCTATCTGCTGGCTGAGAAGGCCGGGGTCTGGGGCTCTTGTTCTGTGAACGCTTTGTTGCGGTCTGTTCTCATGTGGCCCGAGTTAGTCGCCTTCGTACGGCAGGTCATCAACATGCGGTGCGCCTTCGGCCTCCGGGTCCAGTTCTTGCCTGACTTGGATGCCTCAGACAAGAACATGGAGGTGCTTGCGAATTGGTCTTCGAGTGCGGCGAGCTTGGGTGGTCTTTACAAGCAGAAGCACTCCTCCGACGTGAAGAAGGCCGAGGCTCAGTAGCAGTGTGCACGATGTTAGCTGCTAGCTGCTCGATAAGCTATAGTTACAGTTTGAGCTGTGCCTCATGATTGTGCGAGTCCTGTGTGTGCTGCGTGGTCTCTCTGAGTTCTCTGTCAGGAAGCCGCTGAAGCAGAGAGGAAGCTGGAGGAAGAGGCCAAAGCACAGGTGGTGGAAGAGCAAAGGCAAGCTGAAGCAGAGAGGAAGCGTTTGGAGGAGGCCAAAGCAAAGGAGGTGGAAGAGCAGACGGCCACCGCTGAAGCAGAGAGGAAGCGTTTGGAGGAGGCGGCCATGGCAAAGGAGGCGGAAGAGCAAAGGGCCGCTGCTGAAGCAGAGACGAAGCGTTTGGAGGAGGCGGCCATGGCAAAGGCGGTGGAAGAGTCAAGGGCCGCTGCTGAAGCAGAGACGAAGCGTTTGGAGGAGGCGGCCAAAGCAAAGGTGGTGGAAGAGCAAAGGGCTGCTGCTGAAGCAGAGACGAAGCGTTTGGAGGAGGCGGCCAAAGCAAAGGTGGTGGAAGAGCAGAGGGCTGCTGCTGAAGCAGAGAGGAAGCGTTTGGAGGAGGCGGCCAAAGCAAAGGTGGTGGAAGAGCAGAGGGCCGCTGCTGAAGCAGAGAGGAAGCGTTTGGAGGAGGCGGCCAAAGCAAAGGTGGTGGAAGAGCAGAGGGCCGCTGCTGAAGCAGAGAGGAAGCGTTTGGAGGAAGCAGAGAGGAAGCGTTTGGAGGAGGCGGCCAAAGCAAAGGTGGTGGAAGAGCAGAGGGCCGCTGCTGAAGCAGAGAGGAAGCGTTTGGAGGAGCAAAGGGCCGCTGCTGACGCAGAGCGGTATGTGCAAGAGGCTCAGGAAAAGCAGAAGCAAGCGGCCGCAGAGTACAAGAAGCGCTTGGAGGCGGTTGAGGCGTCGGCGATGGAAGATGGGACACAGGCCGCTGCTCAAGCAGAGAAGAACAAGCGTTTGGCGGAGGCCAAAGCAAAGGCGACGAGCAATGACAAGATGGATCAGGCGGCCCAGTTGCAGTGCGCAGTTCGTTGTCACGTTCTTCCTTCTCATTTGATTGTACTGTGCTCTTTGAACTCGCTGCCCAAGATGTTGTGTCCCCCTTGGCAGGGCAAGTCGGCGGCCAACATCAAGGACATGCTGGGCAAGCCGAAGCCATCTGCAGCAAAGGCGAAAGCCGCGTCGGGTTCGAAGTAAGACTCTTTGATGCAGTGACAATCTGGCGATGCTGCCGGTGTGGTTTTTGTTACGATAATTTTGCAGACAGCCGAAAGACTGTCGCCAACGTGTCTCTGTGATGCAAGATGAGACGATGTGATTTTCAGCAAAAGGGTGCTGGCCCAGCGGCTGTGCTCAGCCGAAAGAGCTGTTCTTCCGGCTGCTCAGCCGGTGCCCTGAGTCTGTGCGTGCGGCGTGCGCTGCTTTAAGCAGCCCTCTGCATGTGCAGCAGACGTGAGCCTGCTCTCGGACATTTGCTTCTGTAGCAAAAAACGGCAGCGTCAAGGTTTGCTTGCGTGCCAGTTGTGTGCTTTGTACTCATGAACTCTTGACCCTCATATTGTCGTGGCCGGACTGCCCGTGATGTGCTGCAGGCGGATGCAATCCGAGAAGATCCACTCGAATGGTGCTTTGCTTGGGCAGAGCGCCACTTGCAGGCTTTGCCAGATGAGAACCTTCAGCTCCTTCGCAAGAACCTCGCAGATGGTATAATACTTCTGACGCGGTTTTCAGGGCTCGATGCTCCGGGTGCAGCTGCGCGTGCGATAGAGAGGGCTGTTGGCATTCATGGGCCAGATACAGGTTTTATGATGCACTCTGCAGCAGAGCGGGATGCACGTGGCCTGAAGTGCCTGCGGCGCTTGGCAGAGCAGGCAGCGTGGGAGAAACACGCACCGTCCCACATCTTCAAGGATCTGGAAAACTTCGTTGCAACGGATGTGCTGGAGAAGATGAAGGCAATAGCAGCTTCCAAAGGTGATTTCAATGGTTCGGATGAACGGGAAGGCGCCGCCTTTCTAATAGAGCTGATGAGGCCGATGTTCGAGGGGGGTGCTACAGACGAACCAGTTGTGGCCCCTTGTGAAGTGCATGGCAGGGATTGCAATGTTGTGCCGGACTTTGGTTCAAGGCTCGCTCTCGAGATCACCGGCAGTCCTTGCGTGGACTGGTCAAAACGTGGCCACCGCAAGCACGCAGGCGGCCCGACAATGGTAGTGTATGCAGTGTGGCTGGGGTCGTTCATCAAAAGTGGACTTCATCTGCTGTTACATGAGAATACCCCCGACTTCAAAGACTACTGCCTGCTGGCTCCGCTTCACTACTGGGCGAGCAGGCATTGGAAGCTGGAATGCTTCCGGGTCTGTCCTAGCCAGCTGGGTATACCGTGCAAGCGTGCAAGGCGGTTCTCCGTGATCTGGAATCCACTTCATGTGACTTTTGAGGGGACCTTCAAGGAGTTTGTGCAGCTCTTTATGACCCCGACGGAGTACACTGGCAAGATTTTCTTTGTCTCGGGTGGAGATCTTGATATTATGACGGCATCAAAAACACAGCTGGGGACTCGGCAAGCCTACAGTGACATGTTCAATGACCGCTGCCGCGAGAACGTGGCAAACTCCAAGGTATCCATCTGTGACTTGACGCAGCGGCCGCCATTCGGGAAATTGGAGAAGCTTCTGCCGACGCTCGTGACCAACCATGCGCCTTACTGCCTGGAATGCAAGAGACTTCTGACGCCTGACGAGTCGCTCATGTCCCAGTTGCTGCCGGATGACCATCCCGCGCGCGAGATGCTCAAGAACAAGATGATCAGGGATTCGCATGCCAAGCATCTGGCAGGCAACACCATGAACGTTGCAAGTGTGGGGACAGTGATGCTTTACCTGCTGAGCACCGTGCGTCGCCGCGAAGCACATCACGATGATATCTTCCAGAGATCGGACAAGTCGAGTGCTGCGATGCTGTGACAAGGCTGTGAGTCGGGCTGTGAGTTTGAAAAGAATCGTGAGTCCGAGTGACGTTGCAAATAACCGTGACAAAGACCTGAAATTTATATTGGGCCAGAGTAAGCTCTCTAGAAGGTACCATTTCTGAACGTAGGAATTGAGATTGTCATTGGTGATCTCTGCAGATACAGACAAGACAAGCTTTGCGACTTTCTGTCACTGTTTCGAGCTTCTCTACTGGATATATGAAATATTTGATGGCTACACATAGCAATGCGTGATGATGTTTTTCAGGTCAGCAAGGCTATTTTTTCACACACACACACACACACTACTTTGGTAGTGGTTGTTTTTCATGCAACATCTCCAAGTATTTGAGGCTGGTAGTTTACCGACAGTGCATAAATTTACATATATGATTCTATGATTATTTGTATTTTTTTATGAATCTTAATGTGTATGTATGTATATATATATATATATATGCGACGGGAGATTTTGCCTTTACCAATTTGCGGACAGACATCGTTGATGAGTTAACGCATATGATTTCTGTCGATGATATACGATGGGAGAGTTTCAGTCATCATGATCTAATTTGTTATCGGTGCCACGGGCATCGCGAAGCCACGAGGAAATTGAGACCACACATAGTTGCAGTTCGCAGTTATTGGCTCACGCCCTAACGCCAAACCCTTTGTTTGCAGTGATGCGTAATATGCCGCACGTGAGGATCCTACGTGAGTGGGCAGTCTAAGCCAAGTGCCACATACCCCTCAGTCACAACCCGCAAAGCTCATCCAACTTTCGTGAACTTGTGACTGGCTTGAGCCGTGAGCTGTGTTTGACAAGAACTGTGGGAGTCTCAGGCCGCCGACACTGCTCCTCCTGATTGTAATTCCTCTAAATGCCGATTGGTCCGAAAATGGGTTTCGGTAGTGTGGTCAGATAATCTTGGTAAGTCTTGGGGCCGCCGTGCCGATGTCTCATACGATTTGTCGCCGTGATTTTGGCCTCGAAGTGGTGCCCCGGTGCTAAGATGTACGAGGTGTTTTGGCCTCGAAGCGGTGCCCCATTGCTCATAAGTACGACTTGTTGCCGTGCGTGGGCATATGCACGGGCACCCGATGTTGGCTGCAATTTCCTAGGGCAGCCAATCCACCAGGCGCCAGGACCGTGCCCAGCGCACGCCCTGGCCTTCGTCCCGCAACAGCCCTGCCATGCAATGGCATCAGGGACAGCCGACCTCCAGCGTTTCTACCCTGTCAGCTATGGGCCGTATGAACGCGGGCCTGTCTGGCCCTCTTGCCTTTGATCCAGATACCAGCTCAGCCTATGAAGCCTTGCAGCCCCAGCCGTCCACTCAGGATTTCAGCCAGGAGCTTTCCGAAGAGCCTACCTTGCTTACTCTCCTGGACAGGTTACGAGCCTTGGAAGCCAGGATTGGTATACTCGAAGCCGATCGTCGTGGCGCTCAGCAGGCTTTGTGGCACCACAGCAGGCGTGCCCACGAGAATCCCCGCCTTCGTTGCCTTCTCTCGCCTTGGGTCTTCATCAGTGCCAAGATAGATGCCGTCAAAATACGCCTTGATCAGGTTTATGCCAGGTTGGCCGGGCTTTTGCTTACCTTGCAACAGGCCTTCCCAGCCATCGCGCCCTACTTTACAGAAGGGGCCGTCGATGCATGCCAGTATCATGGCCCCTCAGCCTTGCTGGACTCTGAAGGAGATCCCGAAGCCTAGCCTTTCTTGCCTTTGCTGGAAAAGAAATTTCGTCGGCCTGCTGTTTCTTGCACTCTCATGGATTGTGTGCCTTCAACTTAGCCGAGGCTCAGCCTTCTTCAGGCCAGCGGGGGGATTCCGCCAATATTTTCCCCACGCGCGCCCTGCCAGGTCGCCCTCGATCCAGCCGTCGACTTGGCCAGGACACTTTGCCTGCACAGTTTTCTGTTTGCTCTAGCGGTTGCCTTGCAATTGACTCTGCCCCTCAGCTTCCGTTGCACAAATCCTATGGGAGCGTCAGCCTCTGCCCCAGCCATGGCCTCCGACCATGATGCCTTCGCAGAGTGGATGAAGACCCTCGGTCCAGCCGACATAGCCAGGATCCGAGAGATGCATTCGGCGTCGGCGCAATCTGCTGCCAATACAGCCGTACAAGACGACCCTCGGCCTTCTGCAGATAATGATTCTGGCCTTTCGCCTCGTAGCCGTCTGATTTATGCAAATCAAGAAGCCTGGTATCATGCTCAAAAGGGCTGTTATACTGGTCCGATCCCAGCCTGCTTTGACTATGTCCCACCTCAGGACATGGACGACCTTGCTGACGCCAACGTCGCCGAGCCTTCTCAGCCTTCCACAGCACATACGGCCAATGTGGCAGCAGCCCAAGCAGCCGAAGAGCCTTTGCTCAGCCGATGCCTCCTCCCAAGAGGAGGAAGATCCTTCAGGAGCCGACACCCAGACATACCCGCCGTGCCCGCCATTGCCCGAGTTCTTTTCTGCTGACTCGGGCGTCTTGCGGTATTGGCACATGGGCGCCGTGGGGTCTAACAACCCCAGGAACATGGGTAAGCAATCTGTGCCTACCATGTGCCCTCAGGATATCGGCAGCCTTCCCGAAGCCTTGTTTGACCGCCGAAAAAACCTTACCATCCAGCCGCCTTCCACGCCTTACCAGTACAGGCCACCAGCCATGGCACTTCCACGCTTGCCTTGTCCCAATATCAATATGCGCAATTGCATCATTGTTCCCAGCCTTACACTGCCGCATACCTACGAGCTCGACCCAGCCTTTGCCAGGATGTATTATATGGGGAGCCGTGGCGAAATGCGCTGCGGTATCCCATGTTCTACAGTGCCGTTCTGCCCTTACCATTCAGCCTGCGGCCGTGAGCTCAATAAGGGCACGGTCGAGCATGAGGACAAGCACTCGGGCCACCAGTGCTCGCGCTGCAAGGAATTTACAGACCTTGGGCGCAGCCCTTTTGAATGGTTTTCAGCCGTGCCGTCACAGGCAGCCTTAAGGCGCTGACTAGCCCTCTAGCCTTCGAGCCTTCGTTGCCTTAAGTACGGTAAGCTGCAATAGATTACTTGTCGTTTGTTTTTGAAGGCTACGGGCCCTTGGCCAGGCTAGCCACAGACAGCCGCCGCCGGCAGTTCGCAAAATAGCCCTGCAACCTGCAGTTGCCTTGCCCCAACTTCTGCACGCTCCCATTTGCACCACCGGCCGCAGGACCATCGCCAGCTCTGCCGCGACCTCAGATTTGATCCTGCTGTTCTCCTGCCTGCTCTAGCCTCCTTCGGCCTTGCCTCAGCTCGTGATGGATCCAGATCCAGAGCAGGACGAGGGTAGCTGCCTCGACTCATGGAGCCCGGTCAACAGCAGCCACAGCGACTCTCAGCGAACAGGGAGGTCTCTTCCGGCTCCCCTCTGGACCCTCTTCACCCAGACGACAGCCAGCCGTCGGCCCCTCAGTCTGGACGCAGCAGAAGCCCGAGCAATTCACGGGCCCACCAGCCTCTGCCGAGCTCAGCCTTTGTGGCCCGCAGGTTTCGGAAAGATCTTACTGCATGCGCTTCAACAACCAGCCCTATCCCGCCAGGAACAGATGCCGTTATTCTGCTGCCTCTTCAGACAGTGCACAAGGCCGCGCCAGGATTGCCGCCTCCCAGCCGCCCGCCGGGAGTGCGTCCGGTGCCGCCGTTCTCGGTCCTCAGCCTTATTCGGCCGAAGTCCATGAACTTGCCATTGCCCCCAGGTCTGCCGCCACGCCCTCGGTATCCACCCTCTCTGAGCAAGGGAGGTTTATCCCAACCTCCTCTCGTGCAGCCGCACTGGAGCCCCGGCCTCTTGGGCTACAGCAGCCCTCTATGCAAGCCATTGCCTCGCCTACCGCCAAGGAGCCTCATGTACGTTGCCCCTCAGCCTTTGCAGCCGGACGTGACGAGGCCCCGAGGTCCCATATTCCATGTGGAGGACCTGCCTTCCAGACCAGCGTCGTCGCCGGCCTCCACCCGACCGCCCCGCCTGCCTACTATGATGCCCCACGGTCAGGCCGACGGCGGCCCGGCACAGATCACCAGGAAAGGCCAGGAAGCTTCCAGGAAGGCCAAGGCTCTCGATCAGTGGAAGGAGCTTCTCTGGTCCTCGGGGAGTCCGCCGACCTTTACCGGAGCCTTCAGGAAGCTAAGTACTCGCAGCAGCTACTTATGCAGAGCATCAGCCCCTTCACAGCCGGGACCCTCGAGACCTATCTAGCCGCCTGCCGTCAGTTCGTGGTGTTTCTTCTGGCACCTGGTTTCAGTCCTTTTGAAGATCGAGCTCTTTGGATTCAGCCATGAGCGGCCAAAGTTTGAGATCCAATGCACCGAGAGCCATTAGGACTGCTTCAGAAGAATCTTTTGGCATGTGTCCTTCAGCTGTCTGCAGTGGAGCAAGTTCAGTTGGCTCACTGGGGGGAGCACCGTTGCACCATGTATGCTTCGTACGATTTGCGGCCATGCTTCTCGCGAACTTTCGATGCTCATCCGATCCGTGTGAGCTCTGGAGGCATTCGTCAGAAGTGGATGAAGGATCCCCAGAAAGCCGGAGAAGACCAGGCAGCCGGCAATCCGGATAGCTTGTTTAGTATCTTGTAGTCATGAAGAGGCACGTGCTTTCTGACAAGGTCCTTGTGAGGCTTAAGGGCCAAAAGCCTTCCCTTTCTGTGAGCGTAAGCGAGCACTTCTTTTCCTGCTCCAGCCCTGTCGTTGGAGGCGTCGGTCGATCCCCAAGAAGAGCAGCAGGAGGCTGGCGCGGTACTATGGGATGCCATGGGCCAGCTTAAAGGTCTTAAAGTCTCCAAACCAAATCCCAGGCTCCAAGCACTTAAAGAGTGGGTTTCCTGAAGCTCAACACCCTTCGAGCATTCCCCTCACCGATCGGACCTCGCAAGGAAGATCGCCATGTTTCCATCCTGGTGTCGCCGACCCCTTCGTTGCCAGGCGCGGTCCAAGTGAAGGTCTTGAAAGAGACAGCTTCTG